CAAACACAGCAACTGATAGCTAGCTCTTCTATATGCGGCCTTTTAGGGACCCATGCAATCATTATCATAGTTACTTTACAAAAATTTTTTTTTTTTTTTGAGCACATTTTCACTCATAGATCTCGACTAACCTGAGACATGGAGTTTTGAAGTGGACAAAAGTTTAGTGACAACTCACTATTTAAGGATGGCAAGATTCAGAAATTCTTAATGGAAAGAGTAATCAAGTTGAAACATGTGCTGTACTACATAAAGTCCCCTTCGAAACTCCGTGTCTCAGGTTAGTCGAGATCTATGAGTGAAAATGTGCTCAAAATAAAATAAATTTGTGTAAAGTAACTATGATAATGATTGCATGGGTCCCTAAAAGTCTGCATATAGAAGAGCTAGCTATCAGGAGTTGTGTTGGGCCCTGATATCCTTACTTTGAGTGATCTGCATGGTCGACCAAGTAAGCGCATGAGAGAAACGACAAAAAAAACAGTCAATTAAAGGGGAAAATATGCCGCAATTAGACATGTTATAGACTCCAGAAGAAAAAATTGTGGCGGGCCATCCAAACCCTCTTAAGGGAGTATGCACCAATAGTAGGGTGCGTCGATATGCACGACTTTTCAGATGCAACTTTTGGATAGCACTCAAAAGTTTCGTTTTTTTGTGGTGATTCCATAAATGACCTCGGTTTTGCGATAGGACAACTCCTTCATGACCCTACCGGGCGTTTTCTGCCAAAAAGCGGAGTTTTTGTACTTTTTCTTGTTTTTTGGTTCCACATTCCATCCTAAACTGTCGGGGCGGCTGTTGCACGGTCGGATGGTCACCGCCTACACTAAATACAAGTTTTGCAGCTTGGCTGGACCACCGTACACCTCACATATGTGTCCCAGAGCTCAATTTTCATACTTTTTTAACCACAATTTTTTTAATTTTTCCCCCTTTTTTCAGCTTTTATCGAGGATTGTACTGACCAAGTCTGTCTATACCGTGACCAGAGGTTGTATAAAGGAGTGTAGGGGCACATAGAACGCAAGGCAGTCGGTGGACGGGGGCTGGGTAGGGAGGGCGAGGAGGGAGGGACGGGAGGTAGTGGAAACAAATTCCCCAAAACGGCCCAAATCAGCTGCTCTTGCCGAGCGCCACTGTGTAATGAAAGGTCGGAAAGTGAGACATAAAATATTTTATCGTTCTAACTGACTAGACTTAATATAGAAAAACGTATTGTAGTGAAAAAAGTGCCACAGGACCATCCATGCGACACAGGGACGTCATTATTGAAAAATAAGTGGTAAAAGCGCCGAATTTTTAGATCTTGACGCCCATGGCCTCTGCTGGTTGATGAATCCGCGGCTTTTCTCGACGCCTACTGGTTGAGGGGTAACAGGACAACACGTGATAACATGAGGGTCATCGAGCCAGGTGGGAACTCGAGATATTTGGCCTCAAAGTACACACTTTTCAAAAAAAAATTCCACCAAAAATGTTGTTTTTTGACAAATCCGAGCCCCTGCCTTCGGCTCTGCGGCAAACCCACAACTTTTTGGCTGAGCGATAGCGAAGCCTGTTACTCCAGTGCGGTTGAAAAGTTTTGTCTGTCTGTCTGTCTGTGTGTGTGTCTGTGTGTGTGTGTGTGTACACTACTCCTCCTGAACGGCTCGGCCGATCTGGCTGAGATTTCGCAGGGTTATTAGGTATGTTCTTGGCTCCGCACACGCGAAATTTCACCATCCTAGCTCAACTGGTTCAGTTTTTATAGCCGAAAAACACCTAAAAAACGGCGAAAAATCGAGTTTTCTGTCGGAAGACCTCTCCTGTCTGGATGAAAGGGGGGTCTGGGGGGCGGAGCGCCCTAGGCACGACAAGTTGAAAAGTTACAAGGGTCAAGATCGTGTAATTTGTAGATGAAGCACCTCTATGTAGAATGAAGGGGGTCTTGGGAGCGGAGCCCCCCAGCATGCAACAGTTCAGAAGTAACTGATGATGGAGAAGCATTGTCTGCCGAAGGCAGCCTAGCGCCGCAGGCCAAGGTAGGTACGCCAGGCGCGGATTGCAGAAACAGGCAGCGACACATCGCGAAGCCTGTTACGACAAGACGCGGTCCGGCGTAAACCTACCTTGTATAGACGCAACTCGTAAAGGGGTACAAGGACAACACGTTTCATTATTAGAAGCATTGAGACAGGTGCGGAACTAGTGATATTTGGCCTTAAAATTTATGATATTATTCTGAAAAATCTACCAAAAAAGCCGTTTTCTGACAAATTTGACACCTAGCATTAGGCCCTATGGTGAATCCGCAACTTTTCTCGACAAGAGCTTGTTGAGGGGGACGACAACAACACGCTTGAGGTTCTCAACCTCAGGTCAATGCTATCGCTCCCTAACAGTTTAAAAATCGTTAATTGTGCAATACTTTTAGCAGCGTGTAACATTTAACCCGAAGACAAATTAGATAGTCAAAGGCAATTGCTCGATTTGTCAGGTCACCAGCTTTCCAAAAACATATAAAATGTTATTTTTATCTTGAAGGATGCGACCGCCAGAGGGAATTACATTCACCTGTTGGAATGGATGCACGAAAATCTGAAAATGTTTCGAGTTTAGAGCTCCGTAGGGGCTCACCCACGTGTCAAATTGTCAATTCAATTAGTGTTCTGGGTAGCCTAGACCTTCCTTTCCAACATCCAAAAGTTTGAAGGACCCACCACTCAGTTATAAAAACACCACTTCTGACCACTTTTCGCGTTTCGTCCCACTGTGCGGCGACGCGTCGCAGATTAAAGGGTTAATCTGTGACAAACTGCTTTAACAAGTGTCAATTAAAAGTTAAAAAAACGGCACTGGAAAATCACATTTTAAGGGTTGTCCCCCCCCCCTCCCGGGAGGATGGGGGCGCAATTCGGCCAAAGGGGGGCGCCATAAAGAGTGCCCCCCCTTGGCCGTAAAACGTTCCTACGCCCCTGTTCCAAACCATCGTTGGATTCACGTGGAATGTCCCACAAGGGCTGTCAACAACCGGCTCGCTTACTATACCCGTCATTTTTGCCCATCCAACCCGAACGGAAAGTGGCGCCCCAGCCAGAATGGTCAGGCCTATCAGAAACCGCCGCTGCGTTTTGTCGACACTCTTAAGATAGTATGCCTACGCCAGCTCCGGCTCGCTGCGGCTCCGCCCGCCACCTCGCCGTCACTCTTGCAGACATCTTTGCCTTCATCGTTTGCCTCGCTGCCCCGTGCCGCTATCTCCGCTGCCCCGTGCTCTCTTTGTCGTTACGCTTAGTCGTTTACGCTTTTTCCTGCTTTGTCACGCGTTGTCGTCTACGCTTCTGTCGTTCTTACGTTCTATGCGTCCTGAGTTCTTATACGTTCTTTACGTTTTGATTGTTACAACTATGGTTGCTTCACTGGTACTTCGTAGAGGTGAGTGTCTAGTGTTTGTGAAGTGTGTTGGGGTGCGCCGTGGCGCCGTGGGATCCGTGGGGCCTCGCCGGCCTGCCCGATTCGCTTGTTGTTGATGGGCGTCGCCACGTCCCTGCCGCGGCCTGCCGCCCAGCCGCTCGTGCGTTGTCCCATTCCCCCGTTCCTTTTGACTGTTGATTGGCGGCGTGGACAGCCCGAAGCAGTGTCGTGTTGTCGGAACCGTGGAGACGTCTCAACCCGTTACCGGGTTGTTTCTTTGACTGCGCTGCCAAACGCGTTGCTCCCGCCGTGTCGCTCGCTGCGCTTGCGCTCAGCCCCGCCTTGCCCCGCCGCGGCGCGCGGCCTCTGCGGTTCTCCGGTCCGACCAGTGTCCCACCCCGTCGACGCCATCGGCCTCGTCGGAGGGCCCGATCCCCCGGTCCCCGCTTGACGCGTGTCCTCGCCGTGGCCGATCGCCGCAGTCCGCAGCGGCTCGGCCAGCCCGTTGCTGTGCCCACGGCCTGGGCCGGCGGCGCCACGTCGTTGTCCGCGTGGCTGTTGTCTGCTTCAGGGCCTTGGCCGGTTCGGCCGTGTCTTGGTCTCTGTTATGGCACTCACATGACGCCACGGCCTAGCCGCGTAGCGGCGTATACCCATGGCGGGCGGCCCTACAAACCCCCCGCCCCCGGCAATTTGTTGTCTAAATTTGCTTGCATGCCACTAGCTCCTAGACTGTCCCACACCCGCTCGCTCCCCGCCCATCGTCGGCTTGGACACTCGCTAGCAAAGTGTCATATGGATTGTTTACAATGCGTTGGGCCAGGGGCCCATGCTCCATTTGACTGCCGTGGGCATGCAGGTTGTCGGACCGGGACCGGGTTGTTTGACTGCGTTGCCAGCGCGTTGCTGCCGTTTACAGAAACGCTGCCGCTGTGTAAATCAGGGGTGTGCAACTCGCCTCTGGCGGGCGTCCGGGCACCAGGCACGGGCGCTCGGCTGTTGGCTGGCCGCCTGCGTAGCCGAGCTCGCACAGCGCTGGCTGGCTGCGCTCAGCGAGCGGTTCGATCCCAGGCAAACTAGCGCGCCGCGCCGCTCAGTCGCATCCATCCTTGTCTTTCCCATATGCCGCCCTGAGAGTGAGAGAGACGGCCGATGTGCTCGCTTCGTCCAGTTGAGTTCACACCTCAGCGCCGGTCGCCCAGCCGCACTGCCGCCGGTCACAGACCAGCCAGCCCGGGCCGGCCCCGGCTCAAGCCTTGGCTCGGCAGCGCCCGCGCGGCTCGAGCGTCTGCCCGCCGGGCGACTTCGGCGCCCGGGGCAGCGCCACCCCTGGTGTAAATGCTCTATATGCCGTGTCGCTCGCTGCTGCCTTCAGCGAACCCCGCCCGCCCCCGCCGCGCCCTTTGTCCTCTCCGACCCGCGACGCTTGGAGACTCGTCCTTTTCGCCCTTCTCCGGTTTCCACCCGGTGTCTCGCTGCTTGCGCTGCTGCATCGGCCTCGTAGCGTCGGAAGGCCGCGCAAGGCCCGGCGGGCTCGGTCCCCGTCGGCAGACGTGTTCGCCGCGTATGTAGCTGTGTCTAATGTTCTGATTCTCTGTTCACAGGGAGATCTGCCTCAAAAGTTCCCAAGATATCTCGTCAGGGGAGAGTGTCATGGTTATTGTCCACAATGTTAGAGGTTAATATTGGTGTGGATACCAAAGGTATGTAGCAGCAAGGCTGTGCGTGGCTATACGTGCACCGCTTCGCCGCCTCGTCAAGAAGGCGCCGTGCCCGGCCGTGCCGCTGTCTGCGCTTGCTCACCCGTTTACTGTTCTGTTGCAGGAATGTTCGAGCTGATTGGTACAGCCCCTGTATCAGTGAACCCTCATGCTGCAGCGAACGCTGACCCCTGTGTGGTGGGGGAGTGGCAGGCGGCCGGCGGGCCCGCCTTTTATGCTTGCACGCCCGGCCTCGTCAAGTGCATCTTTTGCGGCGGAGCCTTCTTCAAGATAGCGCACTGGGCATTGCACGTGAAGAAGGGGGGGTGCCGCGAATTTGATGCGGGGAAGTGAGTATCCAGCTATTGAGTTGTGCTGAAATGCTGTGCCTGCTCGTCTGCTTAACCAATGCAATTCGTCCGTTACAGCCCTGAAGACTGTCGCGTGTTTGACGCGTGCGTGGCAGTCTCCCGGGTAATGTTCGCATCGAATGTCTCCCGCCTTGATGAGGCGCCTGGTTTCAACAGGCAAATGGTACATGACCTTAATGACCACGTCTTGGAGGCACTGAGCCACGGGCGCCTGGCTAAGGAGGCAGCTGCGGCGCCCCATCCCGACCTCGAGCTCACGATGTAAGTCTCGTACCCCTGTCTGTTTATTGCTTGATTTGAAGTGGCTATTGTCTCACCTGTTACGTCCGTTTACCGAATGCCAGCCGCCAAAAGATAACGTACTGGAAGACATAAACAACTGGCTAGCAGACGATCTCCACGACTGCTGGCCACCTCACTCTTATGGAGGCTCTGCGATGAGTTGGAAATACCCCTTAATTACCCTCTAGCGCTCCATACTCTTTGTGGATCCTTTCATCTTCTGAAGTAAGAAGATAACCTAGCTGTAGGTTGCAAAGACATGCATGCCACTGTCTTGGCAGGGATCATATAAAAGTTGAAGGCAATTGGAAGCCGAAACATAGGCCAGATGAAAGAGACAGGGAAAAAGGAGTTCGAGATGGAGGGGGCAACCACATTCGATGTTTCGGGACACAATATTTCATAGGACAAGAGATTTCGTCGGATTTCGTCCAGTTTAAAGCCTAAAATCTGCATGTTTTTGGCCTTTTCGGGGAAAGATTACGAATTTTCCACAAATTTCCAGGGCGTCGGAGACAAGAATTCTCGAGAGGTTGCCCCCTCGGCACGCGCCGTTTAGTGGTCTACAAGCTCAACTTCTTGAGTTGTGGCATTGATTGAGTTGGTGCGCGGCCACCGCTGCATTTGGTGTGCCAAGGATCCCAAGCAAAAGGACAACACTGCACGAGGGCAGGCCTGGACCAACATCGCCGACAACTTTTTTGGACAGGAGTTTTTAGAAAATGGTGACAACTGCAGTTGTATGTCTTTGATAGCATGTGTGGCCTTGAACAAGCATAGGCATAGATGCGTCTCGTCAACTGAATAGTTCTACAAGTTTGTTTATTTCGGGTTCAGAGCCACTTTAGTGCAAGAAACGGTGGAAGACAATAGTTGATGGGCGCCGAGCTCACAAAAGAGACCATCCTCTCAAGAGCGGCCAAGGTCGGGGTACGCAGGACAGCCAGTACTACCTCGGGTCGTCTCTGCGCTTCCTCAGGGATAACGACGCCCGCGAGGTCACCGACAGCAACCTGCAGCACCTGCCGTCCGCTTCCAGTGTCCTTTCCGGTCAGCAAAAGCAGCCGATATTGTGTGTGTAGGTGTGTGCACTGGTAAAACAAAGGCATAAAAATTACGCCCTTTAGGGCATAAATGCTCTTTTACGCCCTTGCAAGGGCATAAATCGTTTTATGCCCTTGGGAAGGGCGTAAATGGTATGGGAATTTCAAGCAAAATTTTAATGCCCTTCCGAAAGGCATTAACGATTTATGCCCTTTAAGGGCGTAAATCGTTTACGCCCTTTAAGGGCATAATTTTTATGCCTTTGTTTCACCAGTGTGTGCCGGTGTGACAGGGCAAACCAAAATTCCATTTGCGTTTCAGACCTCATCACCCTTGGCGTTATAAGCCAGACCTAATGAGGAAGTGGAAGAGGCCACGTAGCAGAGAATAGGGCATATTGGTCCGGACTAATTCTTTTGGCTTCTAAAAACGTATCAGGCGAGCTACAAACTTTAGTTTTTAAAGCTAGGTCTTAGTTTGGTCCTAAATTACCCTTGGGAAGCTGGTCGCAATACTTTCCCGCGCATTCTGGCCGAGAGATGCAGAAAACCCGGGACGTTCGTCAAAATGACAGGGAGGGGTACATTAACGTGCTCAGTGAGACAATGATTCCTGCGGTTGAACCCCTCCGCGCAGGAGGAATCCTCTTCATGCAGGACAACGCTGGAATCCACAAGGCACGAGGCACAATGGAATTTCTGGAGGCAGCGGGGGTAAATGTCTTGGACTGGCCCCCATACTCTCCAGATTTGAACCCAATTGAGAACCTGTGGGGACTAATAGTTCACGAGTGAGAGGAAATGGACGAGGCCACAAAAACTGCCCTTGCTGCTCATGCTCGGTATGTGTGGCAGGATATTCATCTCTCAATATCTCAGTGAAAGATGCTAGGACAATTGGTACTGTTTTCTGAGTACCACAATATGTTTCACCTGAAATTTAATGACCATATTTTGCAAAGCAAGGCTTGGAACTACTTAACACTGCCTCCTGAAAAATGAACCGAAATGAACTTGCATCCTTTTGTCCGAAAAGCAGTGAGATCTGTTAGGCTTCTTCCAGAAATTCTCTTATTGCTCAGAAACATCAATGAATATTGGTAAAACATCGATTGAAGTTGACGTATGGAAGTGCAACCTCTTCAGATTTGGGAACTCTAGCTGAACTCCTTCCTAGTACACACGACTTCACACGACACGAAGGCAAATGTATAGGCCCTCCCCCTACTTTCAGACTAGAAGAGCCGGCCAAAAGGGGTCCCTTTGATGCCTCACCAGTGTAGGTGTCCACCGGCTGGCGCCACAGCGACGTTGGCGCAGGCAGTGCTGCGTCCTTGGCGAAGGCCACCACCTGGTCCTCAACGTCGCGGGCCGCGTCGGCCGTGAGGAACACGCAAGCCGCAAACACGGCCACAAACGCGCAGTCCGCCAGGGACATAAAGAAGTTGGGGAGCAACTCGGTGATGATGTAGAAGATCAGCCTTTGTATCGTCATGAACTGTGAACGACATTCCCTTGACAATGAACCGCGAAAACTGACAGTAAACCCCTCAGCCACAATCTCAGACTCCAAACAGGTCTTTTGACTGAGCGATAGCGAAGCCCGTTACTCGGGTGGGGTTGGAAAGTTTTGACTGTCTGTATGTCCGCACTACCCTTCCTGAACGGCTCGGCCGATTCAGCTGAGATTTTGCTGGGCTGTTAGGTGTGTCCTTGGCAGGTATGTCCTTGGCTCGCCACACACCAAAATTCAGGGGGTCGACAGACTGCAAATTTTTATTGCGGTTTCCGATCTTGCCACGACCTTTTCCACGAGGGGTCGGAAGGGGTGTCCAGGAGCCTGACCATCTAAGGAGTAGCAATCGATCTCACGGACTCGTTTTAGGCTTCGGCAAGGCCTCTGTCGCATTGAGTTTTAGTTGCAAGAAAAATATGACTATTATCGACCATGAATCCTTCTAATACCCATCACTACGGAGTGCTCCTCCCATTGTTTCCACAGAAATTTTTGCAAGCAGGGAGCGCTGCAGGCCGGTGTGAACCCCCCGTATGATTCTGGTAGGCGTATTTTAGACGTAATTTGGTCGTACTTTGTACGTCAAATTTACTTCAAAAGAACGCCAAAAATACGGCAAAAGGTTACGGCAAAACTACGCCAAAATTACGCCGTACCGAAGGCATATTCTAGTCCGGAAAATGTTCATTTTTACGACTGAAATACGCCAAATTTACGGTTAGCTGCTGGATGACGGTGGAGCAAAAAGCAAAAGGTACTCGTAGACGGGTGTCGATCCACAGATCTACGTGTTTGCAGACGCATGCGGAACCACTTGGCCAGAGTGGATCTGGGGACCTGAGCTGGGCAGCACCCATATAGTGAAAGATCTGTCCAGTGCGGACTTGATCGAAATCCTGGCGACTGGGATGGGCCATTTTCACAACAGATGACGCGTGGTGTGCGGCTGATTCGAACCTGTTATCATTTTGAACATATAACCTGATTACCCGTTAACACGTTAACCGATCAACCGCACGCCGCGCTTCAACTGTTGAGAAAATGGTCCATCCCAGTCGCCTGGATTCCGACCAAGTCCGCACCGGACAGATTTCCAGATCCACTCTGGCCAAGTGGTTCCGCATGCGTATGCGAACACGTAGATCTGTGGATCGACACCTGTCTACGAGTACCGTTTGCTTTTTGCTCCACCGTCATCCAGCAGCTAACCGTAAATTTGACAGTTGGGGGGTGGCACGGTACCTCCAAAATAAAGACCTCCAATTCCCTTTGGATGTGATTTGCGTCCTGTCGCGTTTTTCCTCCAATGCGTTGGAGGTGATTTTACCTCCAGTTGCATTCCCTCCAATGGTTGGAGGTGTCTAGCGCACGCGTATGTCTTCCAGAAATTACCTCCATGGCCTCGTCGGCAATCACCTCCACAATATATGAGTAATTTTACCTCCACGCAGATTTCCTCCACAGAAACGAACATGGGAATCACCTCCACACGATTTGCCACCAATGCGTTGGAGGTGATTTTACCTCCACGCGCATTCCCTCCAATCGTTGGAGGTGTCTAGTGCAAGCGTATCTCTTCCAGGAATTACCTCCATGGCCTCGTCGGCAATCACCTCCACAATTTTTGAGTAAGTTTACCTCCACGCAGATTTCCTCCACAGAAACGAACATGGGAAGTACCTCCACGCCATTCCCCTCCACAAAGTAGGTCCGATCAAGAAATACATCCACGTAAATTGCCTCCAAAAAAAAAATAATAGATAAGCACGATGCGCAGGTGCCTGTGTACAGAGAGGCCACCTCTCTTGCAGGCTGGGAAGCCCGGCAAACACTTGGTAGCGAATGGCATCGACCTCCAGCAGGCTCCGCTTCAGCTTCACCGCGTGCGGGTCCGCCTCGTCCAGGATGCGGCTGATCTTGGTCCTCCTGACGTGGCGGTCCCACGCTATGTCCGGCCACTCCTCGCCATGAACCAGGACGGTCTTGACGTCGTGGTGTACGTGGTCCTTGTAGCGCCTCCGGACGCCGCCGATCGGGCGAGATCGTGGGGATGTTGCAGCGCGACGAACACGGCGCAGGTGGCCTGGAGGAGGGGGGGAGGGGGGAAGCCGCGGAGCCGCGGGCGAGGTGCCCGGCGTACTGTAGGCGGAGCTGGCGGATCGCGTTGATGATGGGGGGCACCTTCGTGATGGGCCGGGCTTCCTCGACGCTTCGCCAGCGCCAGGAGTTTGGCCGCGTGGAACACGGCGCCAGCGGCCGGCCGCAGCACCTTGTTCTCCATGATGGCCAGGCGTGACTCCAGGGTCTCCTTTAGGGTAAGCGTCTTGGTGGCGTATGTCGCCGCCGGCCGCTCCACTGTCGTCCAAATGCGCACCTTGGCCACCACCGAGACGGAGCGGCGCCCGAAGCCGAGGTCGTGAGCCAAGAGGGCGTGTTCGCCCCCACCCTCCTCAAGGATGTGCTCGGCCTCCTCCAGCAGGGCGCACTCGGTCATCACCAGGGGGACGTGCATGGCCACCTCCTGGGGGACGTGCATGGCCACCTTCAGGAAGACGTGCTCGGCCACCTGCAGCAAGGCGTGTTCAGCCACCTCCGAGCGGGCGCCGCACGTGTCCCCGTTCTGGCGGGCGCGGTCCCCCAGGCCGAGAGCCAGGAAGAGGTGCTCGACCACCTCCACATGTGCGTCTCCGGCATGTTCGTTCACGTAGAGGGTCGTTGTCGTCGTCGTCGTCGTCGTCGTCGTCACGGACTATGGCGAGGCTCTCCCGGGGCGCTCACCAGCCAAACCTGGCTTGGTGATCGAGGCCGTGCTTTACGATCGTTGTCGTTGCGGCCGAGTCTAGCTTACTTGGTACCATATGCTGTCGCATCGCGTTCAACGTCGTGTGGCAGGTTCGAGGAGTCGCCGAGAGCACAGGCCCCTCGGGCCCGGGCACATGGCGCTACGCTTACCTTTCAGTCCGCGTACGTGCGGCAAGGCCATGTATGCCGCGGCCCTAGAGGTCAGCGTCGCTGTGGTCCTAGCAGCAGGAACACACGAC